CTTCACATTCTAGCACTACTCATATAGCATTATGCTTTCCGAAACGTTCACATTCTAGCACTACTCATATAGCATTATGCTTTCCGAAACGTTCACATTCTAACACTACTAATATAGCATTATGCTTTCCGAAACTTGCACATTCTAACACTACTCATATAGCATTATGCTTTCCGAAACGTTCACATTCTAACACTACTCATATAGCATTATGCTTTCCGAAACTTGCACATTCTAACACTACTCATATAGCATTATGCTTTTAGTGTTAGAATGTGAACGTTTCGGTAGTGCTAGAATGTGAACGTTTCGGAAAGCATAATGCTATATGGGATGCTTTCCGAAACCTTCACATTCTAACACTACTCATATAGCATTATGCTTTCCGAAACCTGCACATTCTAACACTACTCATATAGCATTATGCTTTCCGAAACGTTCACATTCTAACACTACTCATATAGCATTATGCTTTCCGAAACCTGCACATTCTAACACTACTCATATAGCTTTCCTTTTATGGTGGACCTCCTTTTCCTAGTCCGATTAGGAGTAGCAATACTCTAGCTATCATTGAACGGACTTCTACCTAAATCAATAACGAAAAAACGCTATTTACCGCAATGCGCCATTTTCAGTTCATATTTTTACAGGTTACAGTTTTGACAATAAGAAATAATATTTTATAACGACATGACGTTTCGATCGCTAATGCGATCATTCTCAAATAAAAAAATACTTATAATCAATAAGTAAACACAAACGAAACTATTAACTCATATTGTTAACTAATAATTTGCCGTTGTATTAATGTAAGAAGATATTATAATTATTCAATAGAATATAGATAAGAAATAGTAAAACAGATATTAAACGCTTTTATGAAGATATATTAAAAGTACCTAAGATTAAAGGTCGAACACAAATATCACACTGCTAGCAAGTGAAATAAAGAATCTGACTGCAATTCCTTAAGCAAAAGTCGTGTTTACTAATAAGTCCGGTAGTTGGAAACGTTTTCGAGGCTTAAATCGGCTAAACATTGTTTTTAAGTGATGCTCATTAGCCTACGTAACAGTTATGCCTTTTATTGTAAGTAAGAAGTTAAGAAAGTAATAATGGTTTCATCGTATCGGTAACTGGAGAGGTAGTGAGATAGATAAAAGTATTGTTCTCCAATGCGGTCAGTATTTGAAGGAATTGCCAATAGAAAAAAGTACTGATGCTGTCATTAGAATAAGCAAAATTTTAAAATATGGTCAGTAGTTGGCAGATTACGACTTCAG